TCTTTTCCAACCCAGTTGATTCTGTGAAAATCCAGGAGTCCAGCCGTAACCAAAGCCATGGGTTTTAAGAGCAAACCGTCAGCTTGGCAGTTCTTGTAGTTGCAAAAAATGCAAGGTTGTGATGAAGCTGGCTCTCTTGTAAAATTAATTATTAGAAATCTCTTTGAGCTCATCAGTGCATAGAAATGTCTCAAAGGTGGGTGCCAAGAGGACAGTGCCAGGCTCATTTCAGTGGTGTCCAGTGACAGGATGAGGCCTAAGGGCCGTGAACTATAACACCAGAAGTTCCACCTCAACATGAGGAAGAACTTGTGTACGTTGAGGGGGTCAGAGCACTGGAGCAGCTGCCCAGGGAGGCTGTAGAGTCTCCCTGTCCGGAGACATTCCAAACCCACCTGGTCATGTTTGTGTGTCACCTGCTCTAGATAACTCTGCCTTGACATGGGGGTTGGACTGGGTGAACTCCAGAGATCCCTTCCAACCCTAATGATTCTTGGGTTTTCTCACCTTAATCACTGTATCTCATGTTCCATTGCTTTAATAGAACTGCTAGAATGGTAGATGGCTTGCCTTTTTCATGTTTTTACATTTTGTTTTCGTTGCCACAGGAGCTGAGCCAATGACTCTTGGCTCCCCGACATCTCCAAAACAAGGAGCTGGTGCTCAGTTTCTCCCTGGGTTTTTGATGGGTGACTTACCTGCCCCAGTGACTCCACAGCCACGTGCTCTATGCGGCCCTTCAGCTGGAGTAATGGAAACGAGGTCTCCACTACTTCCAGGTCAGAATTCATTGTAGGCTGAAAAAATTGTCCTGAAAGCAGAAAATAGATTCGTCTCATTGTTCTGCATAACTGTTGCAGACTTGAATCCTTGTCGTTTTGGAGCTTGCTATCAACGAATTGCACTGATTGAATAAGTGGTGAACTCAAGTGTATTCTATAGAGTTTGGCTAAATTCTTCAAAGTAGACTTAAGTTTAATAAATGTTTTAAGCATGGCTGTGTTAATACCAGGACAGGTTTTTACAGGGAAGGAAATATGAACCTCTCCTAATACAAAATTGATTTATACAACTGTTTATGAGCCAGTTGCACATACAGCCATCAATGTTTTCTCTATATTTAAAACAAAGATGTTTACTGGCAGACAAAATGCAGCTTGTGCAAACTGCTGATTTCTTTGCAAGGAATTCTAAAAAGTCACAGTTTATCAGACTTATAAAAACTGTCTGGAGAAAAAAACAAGAAATGGTGCTTAATTAGTATCATGTGGTTGTAGTTAAGAGTGTTGATGTCTGCTGTAATTGGGCAGGAGTAGTGAATTTTCCTAGCTGTAGATAGTAATTTCTTTTCAACCACCTAATTGATCAGACTAGGAAAAGTGTTTTCCTATGGTTTTAAGATGTTAGTATTATGTCTGTTTTCTTCTCTGGGAAGTATAAGTGAGTAGTTAATATGTCATGGATGATCATGGCTTTTGTACTAAATCAGCTGGCATAATTTAATATCTGATGGTGCTAATGTGGTAAAGATTTTGAAGGAGAAATTGAGGATTAAAGTGCTGCAAGATAATTGTAGATATTCTGTTCTTTGAATATCAAGGAAGATTGAAATTGATGATCCTTCTGGGTCTCTTCCATCTTAAGATGTTCTGATGAGTGGTCTCTTGGTCTCCTACTTCTTGCTTGTCTGCCTTCCCTGTGCCCATCAAGTACAACCCTCTCAGGAAAAAATATTTATGAAATTTGAAAGTAATCCTGTGAATTTCACCTAATTGGTTTTGAAAGGGTTTGCTGCAGTCTCAAAGTACCAATTTTAGAACAGGAGGATGCCCTAAGACACTAGCACAGGCTTTCCAAAGTGAGTGGAGTGCTGAGGGCTGGGTGGGGGGTCCTTTCCACATGAGATGCTGGTGCCCTGGCAGTGTTCCAGGCCAGGCTGGATGAGGTGTAGTCGGGAGGTGTCCCTGGGCAGGGCAGGGGGTTGGCACTACATGATCTGTAAGGTCTATTCCAACTCCTAAAATTCTATGATTTAGTACATCCCTTAAACTGAAAACCTGGATGGGAGAGTGTGTTACATAATGCACAGTTACTGCATAGAACAGTTGCAGTTCTTGTATGTGTTAGTTCAGAGTGGAATCTTGAAGCTCAGAATTTAGGAATGAAATGTACTTTGGAAAAGCTTAGTTTCCAAATGGTTTGCAAGTGAAAAATTGTTATGAGAAACAATTTTTGTTGTTGGTTTCTTTATTTGGTTTTTTTTTTGTCTCCCTGGGGGGTAAATCCACACAAAGTGTTCAGAGGTAAGTCAAGTTCTTTCAGGCACTTTAATTCTCTGTTTTACTGAAAGTGCCAAAGTTTACAAAATGGGAGAAGAACCGGCTTAATTTCATCCTAAGTGCAAACTAGTCTCTGCTCTCAAGAGCTTACATTTTTATCGAATGTGAAATTAGATGGGAAGCCAAGAAATTTGGAGAGTGGGAATGTGACAGCATGTGCAATGTCTGTGTGTGTTTTGGTGTGGTTCTTTAGCATGTAGAATGTCTCAAGTCTTAAAAGTCTTGGTTTTGCATCTCTGCTGCAGGCAAGTATATCTCTGAAACCATTAAAATACACTGCTAACCTGCCTTAAAATAGGAAGATCAGCTATGCTCAGATCTTGAGAAAAACAGTGCACATAATGGATTAATAAGAGGTCTAAAAGTTTTAGATTGTACTTCTGTAAGAATGCAGTTTGGCACACATGTGAGACTGTTATGTAGGACATTCAAACCTGAACAGTTTGGTAGGACAGATGGTCTTGCAAACCCCCAGTGAAACAACCAACAGTCTCTCATGGCTGAACTGACTAGTGAAGTTATTGAAGAACAAATAGCAGTGGAGTAAAACGACAAGTTTTGTCATGCTCTTCCTTTGTTCATTTGGATTGCAGGAGGGTCTCACCCACAACCAGTAGTCCCTACGCCTAAAGATAAAAGTGGTGCTCCACCAGTTAAAAGCATATATGATGAGTTATCTAGTCCTGGGCTGGGATCAACACCTCTGACCTCAAGAAGACAAGTAAGTGCCTTTGGTACTGGCCTGTTGTTAGAAGATATGCGGCAGCTTACTGCCTCAGGGAATTCTTAACTTGGGGGATATAAACTGCTGTAGCAAAATGAGCCTTCAGAGTGTGTGTGCTGTGGCTTCGTCTGGGTGTTGGGTAGGCCTGCTCCTGTGCAGTCTGAATGAGAACTGCAGTCATGAAGCTAACTGTTATTACTAGTTTGCAGTACAGTAGAGAATGAAAAATAGAAATTTGCCTCTGTGATGCTCTGTATATACAAATTCAGACTTGTTGCAGCTTTTCACTTTCTTGTCAATTTATTGGGCTGCTGATGGCCAGAAGGGCCATTTGACTGCCTGACAGGAGGTTGTAGCCAGGTGGGGATCTGTCTCTTCTCTCAGGTAGCAAATGATAGGACAGGAGGCAATGGCCTCAGGTTGTGCCAGTGGAGGTTTAGATTAGATATTAGGGGAAAATTCTTCACTCAAAGTGTGGTCAGCTGTTAGAACAGACTGCCCAGGGAAGTGTTGGAATCGCCATCCCTGGAAGTGTTCAAAAAAATGTGTGGATGTGGCATGTGGGAACATGGTTTAGTGGTAAAGATAGCAGTGCTGGGTTAACAGTTGGACTTGATCTTAGAGGCCTTTTCCAACCTAAACAATTCTATGTTTCTATGATTATCTTCTAATGGGCAATAGAGGCACTTAGTGAAATAGAAGGAATTTTTTTCTCTGAGTAAAGTATCGAATCAAAATTTGGGTAGGGAGGTGGGGTTAATTTTGAAAGAGGAACACTAAAAAACTTCTACGAGGTGATTTTATAATAAGCTTCATTACTTAACTGAACCTGATCCTTCTCATGCAAGGAGGAGGCCTTTCACTGGATGAGCTGTCTTCCTGTTGAGTGTTGCCTTCTGAAAAGCTTATTCTGAAAGCTGAGGTTCTCTGTGAAAGACAAAATCCAACAGTGGCTTAAAGGATTGGGTATTACACAAAAAAACCAACTGAGCAGCTATCACACATGTTGCTAGGTCTACAGGGACTCCAGCTTGTTTGGTCCTGTAGCTAAGAAATGCCACGAGTCTAAAATAGACTAGAATGGAACTTGAAATCCTATGTTGAAAAGAAAGTAACTGCCAGCAGATAAAACTTGGAAGTATACTTTCCTTCAGTGCAGTTGCACTAAATAGTTGAGCAGGAAAGTAAGTCTAGTAATGAGGGATACAAGTGGAGGGTTATGCTCCCATGATTTCTAAGCCATTTAGGCAGTGAAAATTCAGTGCTGGTAAGTTAGGATACTGATGTCCTTCCCATCAGGATGCACCTGAATGTGTGAATTATTATACTGCAGCAACAGTGAGATGACTATTTTGAAAAAGTTAACTACAAGGTTTCTGAATATTGATGCTCAAAGATATGTCAAATAAGTTGTCAAATAACTATTCATTAATAGCTCTTAATAGCCTTGTATTAAATATACGGGTAAATGTTCTGTTCTTACTCTTAAAAGTCAGGAGTAACCTGATGCTTAAATTCCCTGAGAATGATCTCTTTTGATCTGAGCAGTGTACCTATCAGAATGATTTGTTACTTTCTGTATCTTAATGCAGGCCAGCTTCTCTTTGGTACAGAGTCCATCGGTTGGAATTCCACCATCAACTCCAGGAACAGGTAAACATTCTGTCAAAAGCTATAATTTACTTTCTTACTGCTTTCCTTAATACTGAAAAATCGTCACTGTTCAAGCTACATCTACTCCTTGCTAGTTTTCAAAGGAGTTGTGTATTTATTAGCTTATCAAAAGGATATGGATATGACTAGGAAATAATTACCCATTCTGAGACTGAGTGAATTTCAGTCAGCTTATTCCGTGTGCCAAATGTGTTGTTGACCTGAGCAGAGGTGACTGTACTTGAGTGTAGCAGTTGAGGTTGATGGGTTGCCTTCCATCTTCAGAAGTTTTCCTCTCTTGGGTATGAATCCTATCTTGTGTATGAATTTCCTATCTTATGTATGTATCACGTGGCTTCTTGCTAAGCTTAATTCTGCTGACCTGTTCCTTTTGGCACCTGTGTTAAGCTGCTGGTGTTTAGAAGGCAAGGAGAGAGCTAAGTTGCTAGTCATAAAAGTTACTTGCATTCTTGCAGATGTGAAGTTTGGATTGACTTGCTCTTTGTCTCTGCAAGTAAATCTCCATCAAACTCTTCCATATACAAGTGAAATGCTCGATACTGAATTTATTCTTTTATTACTTTTACTCTTAAGTTCTGTTTTGCAAAAGAAATGTATCAAACAATGCCATTTCAATTTAACAGCTTCGAATGTGTTCAGTCCTGCAAGTATTGGGCAGCCTGGGAAGACTACTCTGTCTCCTGCTCAGCTAGATCCTTTTTATACTCAAGGTGATTCACTTACTTCAGAAGATCAACTCGATGACACATGGGTGACTGTATTTGGGTAAGTTGATTTCCAGAGTATTAGAAAAACCTGGGTCAAGTCTTTACAACATGGAAAGAAATACTTGGGCATTGCTGTTTGGCATTTGTAGCTGTGCAGAAAATACAGCCATGGCTCCAGCAAGCAAACACATAGATTTTAGTGAGCCACTTTAATTTAAGCTACATGTTGGGTTTTTTCAAGTTGGAGAGGCACCATTCTGACATTGAGGTGTCGTATTCCTCAAGTCACTGCTTGTGAAACGGCATTACACTGGTCTCTTTTGGATTTCTAACACCCTTCATAGGGTTGCATTTTAGCACCTGAATTCTTAAGCTGCTCTTAATTTTTTGAGTATTTTTTTTCTGTCTTTCAGATTTCCTCAAGCATCAGCTTCCTATATTCTTCTACAGTTCGCTCAGTATGGAAACATATTAAAGCATGTGGTATGTCTTAGTTTGAGGCTTATTTCTGAAAGCATTCTGACTTCTGTATTTAAAAAGCTGTATTTCACAGTTTTCACTTCATCTCATGCAGATGTCCAACACAGGGAACTGGATGCATATACGATACCAGTCTAAGCTTCAAGCCCGGAAAGCCTTAAGCAAAGATGGAAGAGTATTTGGTGAATCTATCATGATTGGTGTCAAGCCCTGTATAGACAAAGTAAGTTTAGAGCTGCTTTTAGTTAAATCTAAAGCACTTTACTTTTGCTCTTCCATTTCATTTTTCCTGACCTCGTTCATGTTTTTCTTTTTGAACTGCTGAGCGTAGGTAGTTCAGCTATATCAGTATAGTCTGTTACACATTACATGAGTCTTTCCTTAAGTAATTGTCAAAAAAAATGCTGAGAAGTTATGGGCAATCTCTGTGCTCTTTGAAAGTTAAAATGCACAGAATTGTATTGCTGTACAAGGTAATGAAGTGAAGTCATAACATAAGAGACAATTGAGATAAGTTTCTCAATTACTGGAAATTTGTTCTCAAAACTGGAATTTGTGGTGTTTAGGGACTGCAATAGATACATGATGGCAGATTGAGACTGTTACTCTTCCTGATTGTCCCTCTGTGACTATTTATGTGCTTATGGCTTTTGAGTCTTAGTGCATTGGTCTGAAAATATGTTAGCAAGACAGTCCTGATCCCATTCTCCCACCTGCCCCAAGAAAAACATGTCACCTTCTCTAAGTAGTGGTTGGGGCAGGCATGGCTGTCTTGTGGTCTTAATGTTACCATGAGCCATTAGTTTCTAGTTTCTAGGCATTGCCAATGCCCTGACCATTAATTCTTGCAGCACTTTGCATTGGGTACTGTACACTGGCTTAAGCAAATGACTGTCATCTTCCTAAAGTTCACAGATGATTTTCTTGGTTTCTAAGGATAAGTGATGGTGCAGAGCAATCTAAGCTTTCCATTCTGAGAAGGCAACCCTAGAAATTGAGCTTGCAATTACTGCAGTTTTTAGCAGTTTGAAACATGTCTTATACTGATTAAAATTCAGAAATGAAAGCACTTCAGTGCTCCTTTCCTTTGGGCTTCTGCTGGCAGTCTATCGTTGCCTTATTCAGTATTTTGGTGTCCAGTTTGTATCAGTGACTGAATTGCCTATAAGCTGAAGCTTTAGAAGTAATGACATTTTGTTGCCAGACATCTGATCTTTGTTTCTTTTGAACTCTCTTTGTCATTTGTGGATAGTGCCTACTTTCAAGTATCAATAAACAAACCCATAACTGTTAACTTGGACTGAGCAAAACTCCTTGGCAAGCTGAATCTGAGCAGTTGGTAAAGGCTTGGAGGCTGTCCTGTGTGGAACAGGTTAAATATTTTAGAAGTATTTAGAAAGAAGATGTTTTGCTACCCAGTTCAACTGGGCCTGAAACAAGTTACTGCTTGAGGTTTGTTGCAAGTTGTGCAATTGTCTCTACACTGTTTCAAACTTGACTGATATTTAGTACATGCAGTGAACGGATTCCAAGCTTCCACTGCTTTGCTGTGGCATAATCCAACATGTATATGATTGGAGTGAGGAAAATGCTTGATCTGTACCTGTGTGCTCTGGTCTGACAGGCCATTTACCTGTGATCTTTGCTTACTTTGAGGTTCAAATATATTATATCAAACAATTCTAGATAGTAGGTAATTGCAGAGAATAAAGGTTGGAATACTGCTTTTTCGTACTTGTTTACATTATATTAACCTTCTTTTTAAGAGTGTGATGGAAAACTATGAAAGAAGCTCTACACCCTCAATGTCTTTGGTTTTCACTCCACCTGCAAAATCCATTGGCACAGCAGTACAACCTGCAAACAATACTACAAGGTTCCCTACTGTGAGACCTCTTGCAACAGCATATAAAGCTTTCACTAGTGACTATCAGGTATTTGAAGGGAAACAGAAGCATGTGTTTTTGTGCTGTCTCCCCTTAGTTGTATGAAGCTGTACAGACATTAACTTCAGTGTGACCTTAGCCTTTATCTTTTGCTGTCATTACTTTAAAGATGTGATTCAAGTTTCAGTCTCTAAAATAAGAATAAATAAAATAATAAATAATAAATTAACGATTTGTCACTTTCCAGGGATTAAGGGCTTGGTTTGAAAGTATTTCAAACATATTTTATCAAAATACACTAGA